GGAATGAGAAGTAAATCTATAATTTAAACAATGTAGTAATTAATACTGCATAAATAATGAAATCTATAGTAAATCCAGGGAGTAATCTTGGCTATCTGCTCATCTAGGAGCAGCTAGAATACCATGGTCTTGAGTAAGCCTTCAGTATGCTAACAGATAGGAGTCTCTTTCCAATTGGATGATCAGCGGGATTTTTTTCTTGCTGGTTTTTATTTTAAGATGGAAAGTCTTTCTAAAATCAAATGCCATAGTTGGAAGATCGAAGGAAGTAAAAGGAGAGTGCCAAGGGATGACTGCCAGTCTGCAGATGTGATTCCAAAAAGAAGGTGCCATAGAAAGGGACAGCCCTGACCTTCCCTACCTACCCTGATGCCATGTCCCCCCTGCCTCTCCAGGGCTGGAACTACCAGTTGTGTGACACCACCCTGCCTCAGGGAGTCCAGGTGGGTCCCACTGAAACTCAGCCAAATTAACAATGAGGCAAAGTGCTAGAGGGACTCAAGCAGAGGTAACAGGGGGCTAGCACAGCTCCAGCTGAGCTCAGCATCATACTCAAGTTTGTCTTCTGAGGAATTAGAACTGAGAAGTCATCTCCTTCTCCCATAGGCAGTTTCACTCCTTCCCTCTGGGTAGGTTGAAGAATCAGATTTTTAGATAAGAATTTAGATACTGTTTTGGTAACACTCAGACTTCTCCAGCTGCCAATGCAGAAGAGAGATGCCACTCCATAATGGCTGGCTGTGGCCCCCCAGAACAGCAATGCTCTGCTGCAGCAAACTTGGTTCAGTGCTATGCAATCCTTGCTAAAAGTTTACATCGTAAACTAGAGAATAAATCCTATGAAGAACACTTGAAGGAGTTGGGAATGTTTAGTTTGCGGAGAAGGAAGCTGAGGGGAGACCTCATCAGTCTCTACAACTACCTGAAAGGACATTGTAGAGAGGTTGGTGCTGGTGTCTTTTCACAGGTAATTAGCAACAGAACAAGAGGGAATGGCTTCAAGCTGCAACAGGGAAGGTTTAGATTGGACATTAGGAGATTTTTTTTTTCACAGAAGGAGTGGTTAGACCCTGGAATAGGCTGCCCAGAGAGGTTTGTTGAGTCACCATCCCTGGATGTGTTTAAGGGTCATTGGGATGTGGTGTTGGTGGATATGGTTTAGGGGAGAACTTTGTATGATGACGGTTGGATTCGGTGGTGCCAAGGGTCTTTTCCAACCTGAATGGTTCTATGATTCTATTATTCTTTTTCATTCAAGCTTGGGGGAGCCCAGCAAGTGCTAAAGGATCATTGTGGTGCATCCTCAGGGCTTCTGAAGAGGCCTCAATGCAATGTATGGAAGACTGAGAGGGAGGGTTTTGCATATGCGGCACAATATTTTTCGTGATCTTCATAAGGACATATGAATGTCCCTGTATATATTTATTACCTTGGTTAGCAGGGCTTAAGGACTGAAATAGGAAATAATCCATACCTAGCCAACACCCAGTATAAAATGGGGAATCTTCAGTCACCCTGACGCCATTCTCCTGCTGGGAATAATGCTACTTTGGTGCATTCAGGATGAAAAGATAAAATTTCATAAATAAAATATTTAGCAGTTTTTCTCATTAATGGCTTGATATTAGAAATGCCCTGCTTATAAGCCAAGATATTTCCAGCATCATACATTTCTCAAGCCAAATTTGTGGTTTGTGATGGAATATACATTTAAGAACATGGACCAGTGATGGCACCCTTTAATTTCCATGATAACTTTGTCCTGCAGAATAGAAAACTAAAAGAACAATAATAAAAACCAAGTAGCATTCCCTAAACAAATAAAATCAATCAAACACACTGTTTATTGATCCATGTTAGAAATCTCTGTAACAGGCTCAGTGAGCGGAGAGCTAGGAGAAGCATATACCTTACAGCTAGGCCTTTTAAAACACCCAGTTGTAGCATGATACCACTGAGAGAAATTATGCTCTCCTTATGCAGCTTCACAGCAAATCTACCATCCTATAGAGCAGTGCATTACCCTTAACATTTCCTTAAAAAAGGTGAGAGAACAGAAAAAGGATTTTCACAGCTGGCAATGTACTAAAAGATACAAGCTTTCATCAGGAGAATATAATGGCACTACTGTTTAAGAAAATGCTACAACCTTGTTTAATTTTCTTAGCTATTTTAAATGGAGGCTTTTCTCCTTGGGAAATGGAAGAAAATGGGGGAAGAAAGGATAAGTAAATATTTTGAGTCTTCTCAGCTGAAATCCATAATTATAGTTTTATTCCTTTCTGGTTTCTGATACATAGATTTCACAGAGCTGATTGCAGGCTTCAGGAAACATCATTGCCTTTTAAATTGAAGCATTTCAGGTTTTCTCTAATTAACAACAACTTGCAGAGTACATCACAGGCTTAGTGCCTACTCACCAGCCAGGTTTCTCATAGACAGATCTGTTACTGCACTTAAATGAGGGCGAGAGGCGTTCTCTATGAAGAGTTCACGGAGACTCTCTTTGGAGTCCCTTTTTCTGGAGGGATAAAGCTTCTTGAAGTGATAACCCCTTCTCCTGAATGGTAGCAGTTTGGACTGGTTACTGTGGGGCAGCACCATTTTGAGAAACAGCTGTAGCAAGTGCTTAGGTAACCTCTCTTGCAGAGAGCACCAACTAATTAAAATAGAAACTCTGGCTTTCTTTTCCACTGAATGTGACAGAGTTTTAGATTTAAAGAAACAGATCCAAAAACACAGGAAGCAGGACAGCTGTTATGAAATTACAGCTCAAAGGGGAGGTAAATGAAAAGCCTCTGATTCATCCCCAGGAAACTGCCCAGAATCAAGGTCTTCACACAGTTACCCACAATGTTCCCAGTCCTTTTTCACCCCATCAGTCTCACTGCATGTTACTCATAAGTAGCTAACTGCACCCAGAGCCTTTGGGAGCAAGGTGCTGTCATAGTTTTATCTTTTACAGTGGCACTGTAACAGAGTTCAGCTCATTGGAAAGCGGTTCTGAGTTTTTCACATTTCTTGGTAAAGCATTAGTTCATTTAAATGAAAAATACCAGAAATCCTTGTATTTTAGGACAAGAAAAATGCCTTCCAGAAATAAAGTTTTTCTGACACTGCGTTGATGCAGTGATCAGAGGATCTCAGAAAACAAGACTGGAGGGTGGTCTGCTCCCTGCCTTGGCAGCATGCTGCCACATTTCTGGCACACATGGGTTACTGGGTCATTGGTTAGCTTTTTTGGTTTGTTTTGTACTTTTGTGTTGGCTTCATAACAGGTTCCTCATCTCCTCTGGAAGATACTGTATAACCTACCCAGGTGTCTTGTTCTTTTCCTTCACATTTTTTCTGTTAGGCTAGATGTGAAGGTGGATTTTGATGAAGGTCCTTAGCGAGCAGAACTGCATTAGCATGCATGTCACCATCAGACTAAGGAAAGGGGTTATTCCCCTTTTTGCAGCACTTTGGAGGCCGCATATGGAGTAGTTTCTATTCTTTGGAGCCCCAGAGTGGGGTGTTTTGTACCAATAAACTGAGGTTCCATGGAGTGCTGTCAGAACTGGTCAGGAGGCAGAGGCATTTGATGATCCAGTGAGGGCTGAGGGGGCTAAGCTTGTTCAGCCTGAAGCTGGGAATACTAAGGGGAGGCTAGTTGCTGTCTTCATCTACCTAGTGTTGAGCAAGTGAGCCCAAAGAAAGGCAACAAGGTTTGTGAGAGGTCTGGAGAGCAAAGTCCTGTGAGGAGCATCTGAGAGAACTGGAGAAAAGGAGGCTGAGGGGAGACCTTTTTGCTCTCTACAACTACTTGAAGGGAGGTTGGAGGCAACAGGACAAGAGAAAATGGGCTCAAGATGTGCTAGAGGAGGTTTACATTAGGTTAGAATAAACTAATTAACTGAAAGGGTAATTAAATAATAGAATAGGCTGCCCAGGGAGTTGGTTGAATCACCATCCCTGGAGATGTTTAAAAGTCAGGTAGTTGTGGTGCTTAGGAATATGCTTTAGCACTGGACTCGGTAGAGTTGGGTTAATGGTTGGGCTTCATGATCTCAAGGGTCTTTTCCAACCAGAATGATTCTGTGATTTTATGAGAAGCACATGAGTTGTTTCTTAAAAGCAAATGGCAAAACTGCTGCATTTCCTTCCTTCCTCTGTCCCTTTGCTCCTCTGCCCCTCCTCCCTTCACTCCTCACTACCTCATGACATTTGTGTCACCTTCTGGATCCCAAGTTCTCATTTACCTCATTCGTTTGCTGATAATTTCTGTCCAGGCACAGCCATGAGGCAAAACAGTGGTGCAAATCAAAAGGAAAGCTGTCAGGTAACCAAAAGTGGCATAAAAAAAAAGCAACAGAGAAGGAAATATTCTTGTATCTGTGTATGACAGGACATATGCAGGCATTAACCATTTTAAAAAAAGAAATCATGCTTGGTGAAAGCATCAACCTTTGAAGGAAATTCAGACCTCGAAGGAATTAATATTGTTGCAAGGGTCAAGAGCTGACTTGTGTTATTTCAGCTAAACATGGCCAAAAACTGATGGTCATATATTCCACAGACATGGGCATTTTCTTCACAAAATAGCTGTTTCTTGCTGTGTCATTTTCTGTTTTGTATGATACCATATGAACCTCAATTACTGCAGTTTGAGGTTACATTCACAAAAAGAAGCACAGGTAGAAGAGCAATAGCTTGATTGATGCAATTTTCACATTGGCCCAGTGGATAAACAGAAGAGCTCTTCTAGTACAAGCATATGCAGAAAGCAAAACATTATAAATCCTACCCACAACCCAGAGACAATAAGAAAGGCTAAAAAACTCCAAACCACTGGCTTCCTTGACAGTCATTAACAGCTTAATAGCAGCTAGCAGGCAAGATCTGCTCATATGCCAGGAATACAAGACACACAGCAGTTTGAAAGAAGGATAAATATGTATAAAGAGAAATTACATCTTCCTAAAATGATAAAAAACCAAACAGATTAAATGAACCCCTACCTTGGATTGCCTGGAGTCTACGAGTCTGTACAACAATACAGAGCTGCAGGACCAGCTGTGGTGCACTTTCCAGAAACGTGGCTAGCAAATGCAGCATACTCACATCTGCATACTCATACACCATTTTCCAATAAAACCGCCATCTGTCATTCTCTCCACTTTGTCGGCTCCGGATACCCAAGTAGATTGTGTGGAAATACCTAGGAATAAAGAGAGGGGTTACAGAAATGCAGGATGATATTTTACAGGTAACATATCTGCTTGAAAATAACTGACTTTTTAATGAACATTTATTTGAAAGGATTATAGTACTACAATTTATAATAGTTGATATAGGAGTAAACTAAACTGAAGAAAAAACTTGTGTTCCAAGGACCCAGCTTTCGTGGTTGAAATACAAGGGGTATGTGTTGATTACATGGCCTTCCTCAAGACTTTTTTCAAATAATGTTTGGGGAAAAGGTGATTCTTCAAGGGTCTCCACTCAGAACCTGCAAAACCTGATATCCTTTCTGTGTGGCTCTCTGTGGACTTGGAAGACAACCCACACTGTGAGCCTGGGGTGGTCTTAGCCTGGGGCCCTGCTGTGGCTGAGCTCATTGTCCTCCTTTTCCACCTGTCTAACGTATTGAATATCATATTCAGATACTGCCAAATTTTCAGTGCTTTTTTCTCATAGCTGGATTATTTTAGGAGGAGAGAAGAGGTAGCTGTGAGCTTCTATTTTAGGAGGAGCAGAGATCTGGCTGTGGGTTCCCTTGGTGATTGGAAGTGACTCACTACAATAGCTCCCGTGCAGCAGCAGCAGTAAGAAGAAACAGGACCCAGGAGCCCAATAGGCTGCTGCTGTTGGCAGTAGTAACCAGGAGATGTGAAAAGGAGTGGTCAGTGAGCACATGCCAGCTCTGGTGGCCTGTGTAAGCAGGGGGGAAAACACCTGGTGACCAACCAATTAAATAGATTTCAGTGGGTCCAGAAGCAATGAGTGGTTTTAGAAAGCAAGGGATGTCTTCTGATGGCCAAGCCACCCAGCTGGTGTGACATTCTTTTGACCCTTGCAGAGCTTCCAGTAGTTTCCCATGACACCTGGTCAGAAACCTGGTCTAGCGGAAGGTGTCCCTGCTCATGGCAGGGAGGGTTGAAAGTCTTTAAAGTCCCTTCCAACCCAAACCTTTCTATGATTCCATGATTCTATGACATACTCAAAGCACAGCAACCACTCTGTGTGGCCTTTGATCTGCTCTGCTATTCTAATCTGCTCTCTGTCATTCTCTGTCAGAAAGTCTAGGCTCCCACCTTGCTCTTACAATTTTCATTTTAAACTAATTAAGGCTGGTTGAAAAAAACAGTCTCACTTAATGAAAAAACCTGAAGATTAAGATGTTGTTTTGCATCAGGGTGTCTTGCATCCCACCAGAGTCCCCTGTTAGGGTACTAACTGATGGGGATATCTGTTTCTCTTTTTCTTGCTGAATCTTTCACATCCCCATCCTGCAAGCATTTCCTTGTGGTCTTTTTAATATGTTTTCACAGCACTTTTTTTTTTTTTTTGATCTTATATAGTAAGAAAAAAATTAGCAAATTTTAACCACTTCCAATATGAATTGTTTTAATTGGTTAAGATAAAATATGTCAGTATTTCTCCTTGTTTTCACAAGTCTTTGTCTTAAAAGCCTTTTCATAACGGCTGAATTGTGGGGCTTCTTTACATATAGGCTGCAGGCAACCTTTCATCCTTTTTCTGTTCAGTTGTAACTCTGGAAGTATCTTCTGGCAATGAGAAGATTTTTGGCCTCTAACTGTCAGAAGAGCCCAGGACTCTGTTGCCCCCTCAAAGTATGACCACTGTGCTTGTACCAAAAGTACCCTTGTACTCAATGTACCCTTGTACCCAATGCACACGCTACTGCAGAGCAACAGATTTATTCTGGAACATAAATCAAACAAAAACAGGGAGTAGCACAGAGAAACAGCTGAGAGGCCGGATCTGAGCCTGCAGCATTTCTCTTGACAGTGAACATCACAGCAATATAAAAGGAAAACACATTAAATTCACATTTAAATTAAAATCACACCAGGTGGCTTTCAATTTTATCAAAGTCCCACATGGGAGTGAAGCAGTAAAGAACCACTCAGACGAGACCACAGAGGTACAGTAAACAAGATGCCAACCCTACCTCTTGTACAAATCATTGAGCAGGTCTAGATGGGTTAGAGTATGATGGAATAACAGGGGCTTTACCATGTCCTCAGGGTTAGGTAAAGTAAAATGGCCTGCTGCCCAGATCTGAAAGAAGCCACTGAGCTGGAAAGGCATCTTTTGCTGTGTGGTTGTGCTTTTGGGGCCCATTGGACCCCTAGGTTCTCAGTCACAATTAGTTTAATTGTTCCTAGACCTCTCATTAGTGTCCCACAGCACAATAGGGACAGGTAAGACTTGGATTTCCTTCTGCAGTTTAGTTTTTGGGTGGGGTTTGTTTGGCCTGCCTTGCATGTCCTCCCAAAGGACACACCTGGGAATACTGCACATATGGGGGAGACAAGCATCTTCAGCATCCTTCTTCTGAGACATCAGTAACCCTTGCTATAAATACCAAAGTAGCTTCAGCTGCCGAGGGTGGTGCCAGGAGGCTCCAGCTCTGGCAGTGGAGCCATCTGCAACTTCAGTTCTACAACGTTTGTGCAAAACATACTTCTCCTCTTACAAAAATGACATGCTGTGCCAGGCAACATCCCCTAGGGTTCTTTACCTGCTTTGCAGAGTGGCTGTGCATGGCAAATATGTTGTGATTAATGTACTCTTATGGAAATATTTCCTCTCTCATTGCACTTTATTGTGAAACAATGGCAGTGAGTTATTGGGGACTAGGGAATCATTGCTCTTTGTCTACTTAGCTCTCTGCAGTTTAGACTCAAGAAGCAGAGGAGGAAGATACTGCCTCTTTTTACACGCTGGGGAGCAAATTTCAGCCTAGGGTGGTATTTTTTTCTGTCCTATCAATTTTTGGCCAAATTAATTGCAGGCTGAAATGAGCATTTACACACATAATTACTGTCACTGATTTATAGGCACAATCAGGGGATTAGACAGCTAAATATTCTCATTTGCATCCACAATTAATTGCACCAGCAATTGATGTTAGGTGTGCAAATTAGCAGTTATTAAAATAAAAAGATGGTCTCATAAAATGCTTCATATATCAGACACTTTTTTTTCCCCCCATAGTGAAGTAAAAAAAAAAAAAAAAAAGAAAAAAAGAAAAAATAATTGGGAGAAAGTGCTTTTCTTTCTGTGGTTTCCAAATATAGCTGAACACTGCAGTAATGACACATTCCTTTTTATATATATGCATTATGTAATTGCATCTTAGACACCCTCACTGGAGTCCTACTGTCAGCAATGCTATAAAGACACACTCAGAGGTAGTTTCTGCCCTGAAGAATTTCTATATCTTGGTCTTCTGGTATTGTTTTGGTGGAAGCTCACATTTTTCTGTGCGCCCATGTTGTGCCTCTTACATACAGCTATTCCAGAAAGAAGTAATAACAGCTCTGCATTGGAAAATATCTTAGGTTCATTTTAGGGTAAACTGATGCCAAGGAACCTGAAACAACAGATGTAAATGTTATTTTTTTTTGGTAGTGATAGGAGTGTTTATCAAGTTTAAAGTGCTTTACAAACATTGATTGATTAACTGGGATGAATGTAAATGATCACATAGGGCTCATTCCCTAGGAATTGGCAGCTGACCAACCTAATACTTTCCTGCAAGAGCAAGGTATAGCTTTTAGTCAGCAAAGTCAAACCCAGGTGAGATTTCATAAGCCCATAATGGAGACAAATTGCCCTTTCTTGTGTGCAAAATGATGTCACTCCTTTCTCCCTTATTCTTAGGAATGTGCTATTCTGTCCTGAATTTGTGGATTAAAAAACCTTCTCCTCAGCTGTAGCTCCACTACAAGGTAGTGATCCTGTTTGGACCTTGTTGCCCTTCCAAACAGGAAGCAATTCCTCAGTCAGGTATTCCAGAAGAGAGAGTTGAGATGCCTCTGGCATCTGAGCTGAAGATTTCTAACCTGACTACAGTTCATCTACTCTTTTATAGAGGGCCTTTGGTGAATATCTTGGTATCACTGAAATTGAAGATGCTTTTGACAGTGATTTAACAGTGCTTGAGCTTTTACCCTGTTTACTTCATAGTAGCTGGGTGCCCACTACTTCTCCCTACAAAGTGATTTCAGAAGCTGCTCCATTGTGCTTCACAGACATTATTCTTATCAGTACAGACAGTGGAGGTTTACAGTAGGTGGAACAGAGAAACAGAATCCTGATTGCTGCGGGATGTTTTGTTCCTATGCATGTGGGACTGGAATGTTCTTGCTGCGCATAGTTTGGGTTCCAACAACATCTTTCAGTCTTCTAAGCTCCTCTGGGCTTCTAATCCCAAAGTTTGCCATTTGCCTTTACCTCCTTTCTTCCAGCCACACAATTTATTGCAAATCTTTAGCCACATGTTGAGATTTTGGAGATAAGGAAGAGTTTTGTTTAGTTGCTGTTCATGTAGACTATGTGAACAAGTATGTGCATATGCAAGCACGGAGCCATATGCAAGTACAGTCTGACTGTGGCTTTGAGCACTTCTTGTTACAGATTTTCACCTGAATGCAACCATCCATATGATGGTAATATGCCCAGCTCTACTAAAAATCTTCCATGTAGAAGTGTCAAAGACTGAATTGCTGCCACAGGACTAAAAAGTCCTTAGAATGACATACATGAATGAGAGACCATTTGCATTCTTTGGAAAAATGAAGATGTTCTGACTTCATGCCTCATGTAGTCTTTATTTATTACAATTGCCCCAGTCAGTAAAGGACATTTCCTTATGTTACATAATCTACTGAAACATTTGCAAGAAGACCAAAAGTCATTAACAGCTAGTTGTAGCAGTTCTAGATATTTATTCTGATGTCTAATTTGCCCCTGTATCAAACAGTACATTAAACAATTTAGCCATACCATAAACAGTTGTTCTTTCTGTGTTCGAGGTGTGGAGAATAAAAATCACTACTGCAGAGTTAAAAACCAGTAGAATAAACAGCAATTCAGATAAGTGGTATTTTCTTCTGTTGCCTGGTTACCACAGAAAACTTAACTGTATTTGTATCTCAACAATATTTGCCGTGTTAAATAAC